GTAAATGCCCGGGTGCCGGGACACAACGTGAAGACTAATGCACGGCCCCTGGGCAAGCTGAGAGTGGAAAATGCCCCACCCCGGGGACGATTTTACAGTCGATTTCACGAAACTTTGACCACAAATGTTCCGAATTTCGTTGCGAAGTTCGCAAGTTCGTTGTGAAGTTTGGAAGCTCATATTGGAATTCAGAAGCCAATTTGTAAACAAAGTCCCTGATTGATCCTTGAAGTAAAAGAAGCCAATCAAATGCGTAGTTTACGAACTGGTTTGTGAATCTCATTATGAACTTTTGAACTTCGCAACAATCTTGTGAACTTCGCAACGAAGTTCGGAAATTTTGTGGTCAAATTTTCGTGAAATCGACTGTAAACATTAATTAAACTTTTAAAGGCATATAATCATAGTCATTTAATAACATTATAGTATTAAACTGCTATGGAATATTATCAAACATAAACCTTTAATAGTTGTATTTAAATTTGCATAGCAGAGGGTATAATTTTCGCTTATTCTTACAATAAATTTCACGCCACCTTGACCACGAGGCCGCAAAACATGATCACACGCGCCCACATGCTTGCCTGAACTATGTTTTGCTGCCTTAAAATTTGTGGGTGGGATTCTGGGCAACCATTTGTCAAATCCCCGGGGTCCTCCAATACCCGGCCCCCGTGCACATATATGAAAGGCAAATTCCCGACCCCCGTGAACTGTCTATCGGGCAAATGCCCGGGGGTGTCCCGGGGGGGGGGGATGGTTACTCCAGGAATTGACTCATGCATTAATACACTTCATGCCACTTTCTCAACTGGAAATTTTGAAATAACATTATTGTATAGCATGTTGTTATTAACATAGAGGGTTTACTTAGGTACACTAAAATATAAAAATTTTTTTTAAAAACAAGGTAGGGGAGAACCCGAACCGTGCACGGGAGAGGGAAATGGTTGCCCAGCAAAAACGGAACATGTCTTACCGTATGCTTTCTGACGATGATAATGACGATGAAGAAATGGCAGCAAAAATGAAGTCTGCCGAGCGAAAGACAGCCAAAAGACGGAAACATTTGCGGAAGAAGGCAGATGAGTCCGAATCTAGCGAAGAAGAGCCAACGGAAGCAAAAGAAAGTGCTGATGAATCTGGAGATGAATGGGAGACAAGTGAGAAAGAACGAATGAAGGATCTGGAAGAAAGAGATGCTTTCTCTGCAAGGTTGAAAGAGAAGGATAAAGATAAGCAAAGGAATGTTATGGAACGATCTGAGAAAAAGGTACAGTATATGGTGCTAATTGACATGTTTGTTCTAGCTAGTTTGAAGACCTTAAGACCTTTTGCATTTTGTATTGAGAAGGTGAGCCATAGATGCAGTTTGTAAAAGGTTATCTATAGATATAAGCATGTTTACAGTATGTTTCAGTATTTCCTAAGAGGAATTAGATTGATGTGTTATGATTGTGGTGTTTTGACAGGCTTTTGAGGAAGCAAAGAAAAGACTACATATGGATGATGAAGATCGAAAAAAAATGGTAAGCGTATATTTGTGATTTATCCAAATAAATGTCAAAGAAATAAAGTAATGTGGCAACAGAAAGTAATTGTACGGTACATGGCACTAAAGGTTTAACTTATCAGCTTAAAGTAATAAAATATTTGTGATATTATATTATATTGAGATAAAAATGTTGATATTATATTGAGATAAAAATTATGGAAAAACTCTGAATGATGACTTTGCCTTTTCAATGAAGCTTCCAAAACTTCGTGAAAAGTCAAGACGTGAATATGTAAAAAAGCGTCAAGTCGACCAACTTGACATGCTACAAGGAGACGTCCAAGATGATGAATACCTTTTTGGCGACTTCAGCTTAAGTAAACATGAGAAGAAAGAACTTGAATACAAAAAGACTGTGCTTAATTTAGCCAAGGATTACAAAAAAGCTGGAGAGCTTGAGAAAATTGACAGGTATGCAGTGTGTATTAATTTAGAATGACTTCTCTGAATGTCCATGCAGTCTTCTAGAAAGTTGCTTGGACATTGACAAAAATGAAAAATGGTTGGTCGAATTGTAAAAAAAAAATAGTCTTGATGTTACCATTATCTGCCCCAGCAATCTTCAAGGATAAACACCAATTGCTCAAGATGAAATTATCGACAGCAATTGTTTGTATTGAATATCACATTGAAGGAGGGACAGTTACATTGCCATCAAAGTGCATTCAAAATATCTCGACAGAGAGTGAATGCCCTTCTTCGGGAGATTTAAGGGACGGACCAATAGAAAAGTGAGGGGGGGGGGGATTTTCTAACAGGCAATATTTTTTTGTACTGTACACCTGTAGAAGAATTTTTTTTCTCACTTGATGGCTGGAATTTTTTTTAATAAGTGAAATTTATAGGCCTACATGTATCTTCCAAGCTTGGAATTTTTTTTTTGCACTTTGCCTGGGAAGATTTTTTTCCTAATTTTTTTCTGGGAATGTATTTTTTTTGTTTTGCTCCCCCTCCCCCCCATCACTTGTCTAATGGTCTGTCCCTAAGTTGCCAACAAAGGGCCCTTGCTGTTGAAAATGTCGAAAGTATTTTTTGTCCAGAAGGGTTTATTGAAATTGCAATAAATTGGACTGCATCTAATATTACATCATGTCATCATGATCACAAAAAACATATGTGTTGAATGGTACTCTTGTTTGGCAACTAGCTAAATTTTGATTGTTTTAATGCTCACTGCAGATATGCCATGCCAAAGGAAGGAGCCAAGCCATCAAAATATGATGATGAGGTTATCATTGAGGAATTGGGGCCAAACTATGAACAGAAACAATGGGAAGAAGATAAGCTTGGACAAGCAAAGATGAAATTTGGTGCCAAGGATGCTAAATCTAAGAATAAGGTAACTAGATGATAAGAGTAGAAAAATAATTGAGCAGTGCATTGTTGCAGGTTGAACTCAAATTCAAAATGAATCCTTCAAAACTTATTTGGTCATGAATTTTTTCACTAGTTACAGTGTATTGCTGAAATTTTTCTTTCACTTCATGCAAACAAATTCACCAAGTGGAAAACGGGATTTAGGTATATTGAAAGAGAACAGGTTGTACATGAAGTTAACATGTAGCTTTTTGCTTCTGAGTTAAACTTGTTACAGTACCGTAAGTGGTGGGTAGGCCATGCTGTAGAGTAGGTACTGTATATACTGTACTTAGGATTATGACTGCCCTTCAGATTTGTTGTGCTTCAAAACGGAACACATCCTTAGTTGTCTGCAACAACTCTTATTGAGCAATATAGCAACATCGTACTGTATTTTCTATGGTGATGTAGGTGAAAGACTATGATTTGATGGTTGAAGAGGAAGAGCAAATAGCATTTGTGTTGGCAGAAAATGTTCCTGGTACAATTACTGAAAAGGTAAGGATGACTTGTTTCATAGAGAGAAAAAAAGATACAGTATTTGTTTTTTGTATTGTGTGATCCAATATTGTTTTTTTGTGGCAGGAACCAGAGTTATCAGAACATCAGAAGAAACGAATGACAATAGAAGAAGTATGTGAACAACTTTTCCCTTATGGTGTTGGCTGATAAGACAGTATGATATTTAGGCATAAACCAACATCTTTTTGTGGGGAATGGAAAATTTAGCTCTAAGTAGTGGAAGAACTAAAAATTACGGGAACCACTGAGTATTTTAATAAAATATAAAACAACGGTAATGATGATGACTCAATCTTAGTCGAAAGTTAGAACGATTAAAATGTTATTTTCGGAGTTAGCGTTGTTTTATATTTTAGTGGAAGAACACTTACACAACTTTAAATGGGGACAAGAAAGAGGCTGTTTAACTAACTGAAATTGCAATGCTCTAGAATGTCGGTTTTGGCATTGTGTAGAAAGTTTTTTCACAAAGAGAAAATCCTCATGCCACGTAAGCCCTAGAAATGCGCCAGCAAAGATTTGCCTCAGTAATTATCCATTTCATTGCTAGAATGGATGCTTCTTTGCATGCGACTTTGATCGGTAGTGATAAGTTCTTAACGTTTTTTTCTGTTGTCAGACAAGAAAAAGTTTGCCAATTTATGCGTACAGACAAAGTTTACTTGATGCTATAAAAGATCACCAGGTATTTAGTCAATTCTCGGAATTATGCAAACCTATTGCAGCACTCTTCTCTCGACTAGTAAATCATCTGGCATTAGACAGTCACAGAGTAAAGTAATACGGCAGGGTGCGCGCCACGCAGTAATGGGTTAAATTGTCATGTTGTAATCCAAGGCACAAAATGGGCGAATTGAGCTTAAAAGTTGCATTGGGATTAGGATTTACAACCATACCGATTTAATGAAAGTACTAGGCGCATTTTTTGCTATGTGAGCAAAAGGCCAAGAACTTGCAAAGAATTCCCCCCCCCCCCTGTCTTGTTGAGCCTCGTTAGGTTGTCAAACCCCACCAACCCTTCATGCACGCTGTCAAATAACCATGTTCTCTGTTAGAAACAATGTTTGTACACATTTTTTATTAGGTTTTAATTATCGAAGGTGAAACAGGGTCTGGAAAGACAACGCAGATCCCACAGTATCTCTATGAAGATGGTTATACGGAGAAGAAATTAAAGATTGGATGTACACAGCCAAGACGTGTGGCTGCCATGAGTGTTGCCGCGAGGGTCTCTGAGGAGATTGGAACCAAATTAGGCAACGAGGTATTGGACCAAAGATTAGATTACTCGACGTATTTCACTAATGTTTGCGTGTCCGTAATTTTCACTTACTGCCAAAATGGCGGCGAGACTGATGGCGTTGGATTTTACTATTTAGAGACTGATGGCGTTGTATTTGACACTTACTGGCAAAATGGCGGCTATAAAAATATCTCGGACATAATTTTCGCAGAGTGGCACGTTTTTATAGTATCTAATCTTTGATTGGACTCTTGCAAGTGACGTCGCAACACGTATTTGTTGACTTCCGCCATTTTGTGTGGCAAATTAAAAATAGTTACTGTAAGTGAAAGAAAACATGGTGTCAACAAAGCAATATTGTGGTACTGACTGTGGCCGTTGCTTTTGTTTACAGTGAAAATACAAAAAGTGTCCCACTTCCGCTTCTGTAGTTTCTTGTGATTTACTGTAATTTGTTCTGTTTTTCTGTAGCGATTGCCGATTTATCGGCAAATACTGCGATAAAATTTAAATTTCGTACCTTTTATGCAATGAAACTAACGAAAAATGTATTATTTCCCTTTGCTACAAATTATGATATTTAAAAATAGAGAAAACTAAGTTTTATCGCGGTATTTGCCGATAAATCGGTAATCGCTGTAGAAAAACAGAACAAATTACAGTAAATCACAACAAACTACAGAAGCGGAAGTGGGACACTTTTTGTATTTTCACTGTAAGCACTTTGAAGAGTTCTAATGATCACAGCTTTGTAATAGTCGGTTGAATAAAAGATTTTTGCCCCCAAAATGGCGGACTATTTTTGATGATATTCATACTGCATGACTTGAATAAACAAGATTAGCCGATAATTTGGGTCACCAATGACCCTATTCATACTAGACTAGAGACGGGTGATTCAGCTCGTAGTGTATACTGTAAATGAACTGTATTTACCGAGAATAGTGATTATCGTATTGTTGTTTATAGGTTGGTTACAGCATCAGATTTGAGGACTGTTGCTCTGAACGAACAGTTATCAAGGTACAGTTATTTTCATTAAAAAATTTTTTTTCGTTTTTTTTCAGACGGTTTTCGGTTTTTACCCTGAACCGCCCGACCCTAGGTACAGTATGCTTGAGACATGAGTAAATTTTAGTAGGTGGATTAAACAAAGTGCATGTTGTAGGGTTTTCTAGACGAAAATTTCCAACGAAAATTATATTTCAGACCTAGGCCCTCCGGTAGGAATCGAACTTGCGGCGCTGTGATTCCAGTGCAGCGCTTTGAACACTGAGATACAGTTATCAAGAACAAACCACAAGTTCATGTCTATATACTGGAGTGATGCCAGGTTATGGCACATACGGGGTAAATACATGTATGCTAGATTTTGGAAATCTTACTCGATACAACAAAATGCTGAACCGTTTGGGATGAACAAAGCACTACCATGCAGCATTTGGTATTTAACGGGGAATTTTGTCAATATTTTTTTCAAATATGTAATATCCTGTGACCAATGAAAATAATTGGATATATTTTAATTAGCCTTGTTTTCATGAATGCGAACTTAAGAAAATGGACAACGTAAGGGATGTTTACATAATTACGTCACAAGTTACAAGATAAAAAGGGTGTATTCTTTATATTTTTACAAACAGTACATGACAGATGGAATGCTGCTGAGAGAATTTCTTGGTGAGCCTGATCTTGCAAGTTACAGGTATAGTGCTAGAGTTTGCATTTTTATATCAAGACAGCCGGATAGAACTACATGTACACTGAATCGATTGGCGTCAAATTTTTAAGAATCATCGAACTTTTATATTAGATAGCTCAATAAATAACTCAATAAATTCTTTCTAAACCATCCTCTGCTGTAAGAGTTACTTAATCCACACGCTGAACTTTTTATTGGTTTATTGCATGTTGATTTGATTATTTCTCATGTGTATAGTGTGATGATTATCGACGAAGCTCATGAAAGAACACTTCACACTGATGTTTTGTTTGGTCTGGTTAAAGATATCGCTCGATTTAGACCTACACTGAAACTACTCATCTCCAGCGCGACTTTGGATGCTGAGAAATTCTCTAGTGTATGTATATAAACTATAAACTAGTATCCATTTCCTAGTTTTCTTGCTAAGTATAAACATCCATTTCCTGCTAAAGTATAAGGTAAGAAAAACAAAGCGTACTCCGAACAGAACATTTCGTGCACTTCATCAACAAGAAAACTAGATATACAAACTTATTTTATAGTAGAGAGTGAGATACTGAAAAATACACAGTGAGATATTTCCATATTTTCACTAGCGAAGATATCGATCACGTGACTTTTTCCAATTTGCTTTTGAGCGTGAAATTTCACAATTTTTTGCTTGGGACTATATAATAAACAGAGCATTACACGGTGGCTTGAAGATATGACTTTCATCTTCTCGTGTTAAAAACAATATTGTTTTCACCACTCGAAGATAAAAGTCATATCTTCGCGCCGCCGTGTAATATCCTCTATATACAGTATATCAAATCTTAAACGCACAAGATGCTTTCACTCGAAGTTCGTTTTGTTTTATAAACCTATATATCAACCGGTTTTAGTCGCGGTTTTACCCATCAAGGGGGGAGGGCAGTCCACCATGTATTGCACTGCCCCCCCCCCCCCGATTGAAACCCACCCGAGGCCAGTCACGTATACACCATTGTAAAAAACACTTCTTTTTTGAATTTTAGTTTTTTGACGATGCTCCAATTTTTCGAATCCCAGGTCGACGTTTTCCCGTTGATATTTACTATACCAAGGTATGCGTTAGAAATGACTTGTCTATTTGCCTAAAAATTATCCACATAGATTGTTGAGCTCAAAAAAACGGTTCGCAGTTAGCGCTGTCTGTCGTTAATGTTAATGTCTCTAGTTTTACTCTATATCTATAGTTTTCCTTGCTATCCCCAGGCTCCTGAAGCTGACTATTTGGACGCGGTGGTAGTGAGTGTACTTCAGATTCATCTCACTCAAGCTGACGGAGATATCTTGGTATTTCTCACTGGGCAAGAGGAGATCGAGGCATCTTTTGAGATCCTGACCGAGCGCACGAGGAAACTGGGCTCCAAGATTAAAGAATTACTTATTCTCCCAATCTATGCAAATCTTCCTTCGGACATGCAAGCGAAAATATTTGAACCTACCCCACCTGGCGCTAGAAAGGTATGTATACACCGATTGACGGATTATCTTGCCGATAGGTAGCTCTATCAGATATAAACCGTTCTTGTATAGTTCCAGCACGGCTCATCCCTTATTGTTGCAGTGTTACTAAAAGAATTAAGTCAAACTAAAGCAATTTTATTTTACCGGACAAATCAATTAGTTCTAGACTCTTCTCCCTAGAAGTACGGCCAAGTGTTGTCACTTGTTAGTCCAGTGCTACTACATGACGTAAAACTAATTCAACTTTAGTTATACTGGATAGTTCTATCGGCTCTAGATTGTCCATTTCTTTTCCCTAAAGGCTAGTAAGAGTTATCGATCCCGTGTTACTGTAGGAGGAAACCGGAGTACCCGATGAAAACGTGTAGTAAGACTTCAAGCATTCTTTCCGCAAGAAACTCAAGTGCAAATCGGAGCAAGTCAAGGTGATTACATGAAGAGGATTTTCTGGGTTTTTGGAATTTGGGTGTCACGGAATTCTTGAGAAACCGGTCTTGGTCACACTACAGGACTACTACTGTACTCACATGCTTTTATAAATTTTAATAAACAACGGGAAAAATATAAGCTTTAAGGTTTTATATATTAAGTCAGCCATCTTGGTTCTTTTTCAAAATCCTGTTTCTTTCACCCCCGCAGAGCTACACATCTCCCCCTAGCGTTCAGTTTTAAAACTAAAGATTTGTGACATTGGGATTTGCTATAATAACCCAAGCAGTGTTCAAGAATAAGTTCATACATATCTTTCTGACTAACCTATTGTAATTTATCATAACTTTGACACAAGAGTGGGTATGGTAAGGTCAGATCCAGGGTTTTGCACCAATAATTACATGTGATGACTCTAATCCGATCACCATGACTTCCTTCGCGATCATTGGTCGGGCTAGAGCAAACCTATTTTCAGTTTAGTGCCGATCAGTCTTGTTTGTTTACATCAGGTCGTCTTGGCAACAAATATAGCAGAAACCTCTCTGACCATAGACGGAATTATTTACGTCATTGATCCTGGATTTTGCAAACAGAAGAGTTACAACCCCAGGACTGGCATGGAATCTTTAGTTGTCACACCTATCTCAAAGGTATATTTTGTAAATTTTGCGATTCTCAGTTACTGTACCTAACCAGCATTTAATTTTAAACCCACCCTACAGCCCACCCTACAGTGGATAAAGGCCAATATATTTATATCAGAATACTAGTACAATGACTTTTTAGAGGTTGGGATTGCTCTTTAGTGACCAATCAAACTCATTGTTCATCTAGGCCTCAGCCAATCAACGAGCAGGACGTGCTGGTCGTGTTGCTGCAGGGAAATGTTTTCGTCTCTACACAGCCTGGGCTTACAAAAATGAACTAGAAGATAATACAATACCCGAGGTATGTAGTGGAGGGGTGCAGATTTTTAACCAGGGTGGCAAAACTGACCGTCCAAATAATACCGTGGTTGTGGTAACGTATTTTTGTGGACATGGCGCTTACACACGCAAAAATCTCACATCTTGTAGCGAGTTTGTCAACAGGCCGTGAACAAGTTGTTTTCGCACTACTTGTCACAAGTTGTCGACAAGTTTGGAACAAGCTGTTAACAATTTGTAACAACCTTGTTGGTGATATTAGGCTTGTTACAAGGTTGTTCCAACAAGTCCGATACAGTCATGATATAGCAGTATTGTTACAACTTTGTGTCATCAACCTTGTAACATTCTTGTTTATCATGATTGTATCAGACTTGTTAGAACAACCTTGTGACAAGTCTGATAATGCCATCAAGCTTGCTACAAGTTGTCAACAGCTTGTTCCAAACCTGTTATAACAACTGGGAACAAGCAGTGCGAACACAACTTGTCGACAGCTTGTGAACAGATTTGTAACAACTTGTTTGCAGACTTGTAACAACTCGTGCGTTTTTACGTGTGTAGTACACGCGTGAAAACGCACAGCTTGTAGCAAGTCTGCAAACAAGTTGTTACAAGTCTGTTCACAAGCTGTCAACAAATTGTGTTCGCACTGCTTGTTCCAAGTTTGTTGTAACAAGTTTGGAACAAGCTGTTAACAACTTGTAACAAGCCTGATGGCATTATCAGCCTTGTTACAAGGCTGTGCTAACAAGTTTGTTACAGCCATGATATAACAAGTATGTTACAACAAGGTTGTAACAATCTTGTTTTATCAAGCATGTAACAAACTTGTCAGAACAACCCTGCAACAAACC